TTTTTTGTGTGTGTGTATCGGAATGGATGTGTCTAATGGGACCAGTATAGAAGTTCATGTCATTACGCAGTGCATGCAAAAATAGGCACAAACGAAACAATAAACTTCAAAGCACTAATCCCTTTTTTTTTTTTTTTTTTTTTTTTTTACTAATCCAATTTCAATAGGTCTTGTCATTAAGATCATGCACGAAAATAATCACAGACCAAGAAGGTTCCCACATCGAATCCCGATCAGAAGAATCTGATGTGAAGCCATCCTGGCCCCAGATTCCACTATAGTATCCCAAACTCTCGCGGTCCTTCCCCTACGCGTTTCAACTATCTCCCCGGTAGTGTCTTCAGGACGGTTTCACGTCCACATTCATCAACTTGAAGCTCGTGCTCGATGAAGGAGACCATCCCGCACGCCTACCGAAAGATACACCAAATTCAGCGATTATGACCGTACGTTGTATACGGGGGAAGACTGTAGTCTTCCCAAAACCACCTCCACCCCACACCTGGACGGCCATTCCTCGATGGATGGGCAAGACCATCACTCCGAGCTCGCCTCAACAATCATCATCTTCCCGACACGTTAGCCCATAATACCACGAAGAGGCAGAGGCAGAGTCAGAGGCAGCGGCAGAAGCAGAGTCAGAGGCAGAAGCAGAATGCTGCCAACAGCCTAGTACCTTCTTCCCCCAAATACAACGTACGGTCATTATAGCTCTATTTGACGCATCTTTCAGTCTAGATACACAGCTAGAATGACCGTACGTTGTATTCGGGGGAAGAAGGTCGTAGGCATGGCGTATAGCACAAACGTCACGAACAGCGCCAAACAAGGACACGACAGCATAAGGTTACGGAATTGATTTTTGTTTTGTTTTCTCTTTTTTTTTTGAAATTCCGGGGCACGACTACCTTCTTCACCCAGCGGCCTAGCTCAGTTGGTAAGGCACGCAAGTGGCATTCAGGAGGTCTTGGGTTCAATCCCCATTGGCCTCCTGTACCTTCCTGGGCATGCTTGGCGCCCGCCACCTAGAGATAGCCCGTTGGTCCCCCCAATTGGCATTAAAAAGCAGTCTCTGCTGATGTTCATAGGGGGGGGGGTACTCAGGGAGGCCACCGTTGTCAGATTGGACACAAGATTGAATTTACCTGGGCTGGTTAGTCCGATGATAATACCTCAAGGCCATCGCCCTTCAAAAAAAAAAAAACAAAAAAAAAAACCTTCTTCACCCGAATACAACGTACGGTCATTATAGCTGTATTTGACTCATGTTTCAGTCTAGATACACAGCTAGAATGACCGTACGTTGTATTCGGGGGAAGAAGGTAGTAGCAGTGGTGGTAATAAGAGCACCCACCGCTCGTAGTTGACAACCGATGGCTCCAGTCTATTTGTGGGGAGTTGGCTGCACATGCTGGGAACCCGGGCCCAGCGTCCCATAAATAACCAATTGACATAATTAATAGTTAAATATAACTGCACAGGCCCAAGTCTTCAGAGTCTTCACCCATCTCAGCGCGCCAGATAACTCAAATTCATTAACAAATCTATACGTAGCCTCAATTATACTTTCCTAGGCCAAATACATAGTGCATAGTGCTCACAACGAGGCCAAATACATAGTGCATAGTGCTCACAACGATGCACGATTTCCAAATCATAGTGCTCACAACGAGACCAAATACATAGTGCATAGTGCTCACAACGATGCACGATTTCCAAATCTCCACTGAAAGATGAGAGACCATTCGTCCATTGCAATCTTGGAGGCTCAGCATGTTTGTGTCAATTTTGAACGCGAATGAAGCAGAGACAGTACCCCTTTAATATGAGGTATCATGCTGCTGTCTGAGCTCGGAGTCCTTCAGGGAGGTCTTGGGCCAGCCAAGCAGCCATGGCGTGAGTGAGATAACTCCTCCGTCCCTCCTTCCTACTTACTACCGTCTTCCGCCGAGCACAACGCACCCTTATTTTGGCCGTATCTGGCCGGTAATATGGCTTGTATACATTCATTTTTAGGGTGCGTTATGTTTCAGGGGAAGACGGTAGCAGTCTTCCGTAGAATCTGGAGATGGTGGGAATCGCACTGGGTTAACTTCTCTAAGTGTAAGATTGAGTGCGACGAGAGATTTATTTTATCATGGACGGCATTCTGCCAGCCATGATAAAATATCATATAAAAAAAAGGCTGGGGTATGTAGCCATGGTTTCGCATTAAAAAAAAAAAAAAAAAGGTGGGGCGTGCGGCAATTATGAATGTAATTTGGAGACTGAGGAACCACAGGCTCGTCAAGAGGAAATTTAACTCAGATCTGTAGACCCTCCAATGGATACTGGAAAATATCAGAACGATGATATGGGCGGATTGAAAAAAAAACAAAAAAAGAATAGGAAGTGAAGAATTCACCGAGTGCAAAAGTATGATATGATATTCGATGATAGTCCAAAAGAATTGCTCGGTGCAAAAATATAATAGTTTGTCCTTCGGGACATCCGTTAAAATTGGAACGATACAGAGAAAGGAAGATAAGCATGGCCCCTGCGCAAGGATGACACGCATAAAAAAATATAATAATAAATTTAATAATAATAATAATAATAATAATAATAATAATTATAAAATCGAGAAATGGTCCAAAAAAAGAAAAATAAAAAAATTCTATGATATTCCGAAATTCCTTGGAACTATGTGATATAGCTTCAGGCACAGGCTATCATGTGTTTGCAGTGCAAGCTTTGCACTACTAGGTGAATTTGTGCGTGTGTGTGTCTGTGCGTTTTTTTGCAGCTTTTTTTTTTTTTGGACCTTTTTTTTTTTTTTTTTTNCCTTTTTTTTTTTTTTTTTTTTAATAAGAAACTCAGGTCATTTTATTACTCACAACAAAAGGGAGGCCGCGGGAATCCCTCCAAGGACCATTTCTTTCTTTTCCTCCTATTTTATACTCTGTTCTCTCTTTTGAAAAGGGCGCCGGCCTTGAGATACCATCATCGAACTGACCAGCCCTTGGTAATTCAGAATTGCAGGGTGTTTTTTTTTTTTTTTTTTTTTTTTTTTTTTTTTTTTTTTTTTTTTTTTTGTATCTTTTGTTTTTTTTTTTTTTTTTTTTTTGAATCAATCAATCAATCAATCAGCTTCACGTTTTTTTTTTTTTTTTTTTTTTTTTTTTTTTTGCGTGGCATCCTTGGGCAGGGGCCATGCTAATCTTCTCTGTATCGTTCCAATTTTAACAGACGTCCCGAAGGACATTTTTAACTCATTTGCTTCGTCTGCTTCCAGTGGCGTTCGAACTCAGCACCTGGTCTGTATTTCAACACCAGTTCCAGTTCCAGTTCAGGGTTGTTTTACCAACTGAGCTAGACCCGTGTTCAGGGGTGTTTTACCAACTGAGCTAGACCCAGGTCCAAAACAGACCTGAGTTCGAACTCAGCACCTGGTCTGTAATTCAACAGTTCCACTTCATCTGTTTCCAGTGGAGTTCGAACTCGGGTCTGTCTGTTTTGGAACCATTTCTCGATTTATGCGTGCTTGTCATCCTTACTTGCGCAGGGTCCCCATGCTCAATTGCTAATCTTCAAAAAAAAAAAAAAAAAAAAAAAAAAAAAGAAGCTCATCTAAGACCTTTCTCTGTATCGTTCCAATTTTAACGGATGTCCCGAGTTCCAATTTTAACGGATGTCCCAAAGGACAACACGTGGCGAATTCTGACTTACGGTTCTTCTTCTTCTTCTTCATTGCCATAGCCTTCCTTATGCTGTCGTGTCATTGTTTGGCACTGTTCGTAGGCATTCGTGCTACTCCTTGCCCAGGCTTTTCTATATCACATATATGACATTTCCGAGGAAATTTTGAACATCATAGAATATCATTTGGTTTGCACTTGGGGAAGTTGGGGTGAATTTCTCAATTTCGACTCTTCTTCGTCACTTCCATAACCTTATGATGTCGTGTCCTTCTTGTTTGGCGCTGTTCGTGCTACTCCTTGCCCAGGCTGATGGCACCATTCTGCCTCCACATAGTACCAAGCAGAGTCAGGTCCACACCGGGAGCGTCGGGACGCCCATCCTGTCCGTCACTATAGAAAACGCCTCTCTCTCTCTCTCTCTCTCTCTCTCTCTCTCTCTCTCTCTCTCTCTCTCTCTCTCTCTCT